TATTGATGGAAAATGGGATTAAATAGTATTATGTCAGTTAATAGATCTAATCTTTATTTCAAGGACTTCACTTCGGTACACAAGAAGAAAAAAAAAAATTTGGTAGTATACAACAAATTTTAATATTTTAATGGGTTGCTTTTAAATTTTTATAAGTTATTTTACAACAAAAAAATTTATCACTTTTGTAAGTGATTTACTACTATCATAAGTATTTTATCACTGTTGTGATACTTGTAATCCATCCTAAATTTTTAGTGGTAAATATCAGTACGATATGAAAAAAAAAATTGGTACCTTAAACTTGTCCTTATTTCAATTCAATTCATATTTTATAGATTTAATGTAGTAATATATATATCCAATTTAATTATAATCAGACCAACAATATATTATGTGTGCATATGAAAAAATGATGAAATTGGAGGATTATAAGACTCATTTTCGTTGAAATTCATAGGATTTCCTAAAATTTAAAAAAATTAATTCAATTGAACGGATCCGATTTTTTTAGTCTCCTCACCAATCATGTTTTTTACATTAAATTTTCAATACATTATTAGTTTCAAATTGCCCAAATTATTAATTTACGCTAAAATTTTGATAAAAAAAATATATTTTATTTGTATGTATTTATTTCACTTTTCGTGTAGCCGTTAATAATTTATCTCCAAAAGATAGTAAATGCTTGAATTTGGGAGCGACATGAAAACAATTCAAGTAATTGAGCGGATAATATAAACAATTCAATAGTTCAAGGAATAAAGTAAAATTTAGTCGAAAATTAAAGTATTCAAAATTTAATTTTCCCGTTTTGAACTACTAGAGTTTCTGTACCATTAACTGATTCTAATTCCAACTAGACTTAGAACTAGTTATTGCCCAACTAAGCCTATCAATATTCAACTGCAAAGTGCTAATGTTTTCTTCATGTTCCGTCCTAGTTTTTTTTTAATTAAAAACTAAGTAATCTATATACCTATATATAGAGACATATGAATATTTTCATGTTCGTATTCGTATTCGTATTCGTGTTTATGTTAAGACTCACGAAAAAAAATATCTATTTATTAATTAAAATCATTTATTATGTATATTTATTAATCGTATAAATTTTAAAACTGTGTTGTTTTGAGTTTGTGTTAACAGATCCGAGATGACACGAAGAACATTTGCTGCCAAAGGAAGAAACATTAAAAAAGATCAAACAAAATAAGAGTTTACCTGTTGGCACTTGGAGCTTTATCGATTCTAAGATTTTCCACTGAAAATTTGTTCTTTTGGCCTATACAAGGTCAGTTTATATAGGAAAGATTCGTTTATATTACTTTTAATCCTAAATGGATTGGAAGTTTAGTAAAAGAAACATGTCGATATTCTAAGTTTATGTATTCAAGTAAAAATTAAATTGATAACGTTTGAATCCTTAGATCAATTAGAAATCCATGTGAGTAAAGGACTAGAGAAAACAATAAACGAAGTGGATTCTTTGTATACCGAAGTGGATTAGAATTTCATGCAAGTCATGGTTAAGAATCACTAAATTTAAAATAAAAAAATTAATTAGCAAAATTTCTTATAAATGTATAAATTAATTTGAGATCCATCTCATATTTATATAAAATTAAATATACAAACAAGTCTCGAAGGGGCATTTTTGGACACTAAAAACTAAGTTTTCATGCTGTGACTTGGAAACTTAGGGGTCGTTTGATAACGTTTTTATTTTCGCGTTTAAAAAAATTAAAAATATATACAATTTTTTGTCTTTGTTTTGTGATAAACACTAAAACAAAAAACATATTTGGAAGTCATTTTTGTCTATCAAATTATGAACATAAAAACAAAAAATATGTTTGATATCCACTTCAAACTTTTTCCTAAATATGTTTGATATCTATTTGGTAATTAAATCTCAAATGACAATTGAACAATCCCAAATGGAAATTCAATCAGCTGCAAATGATAATTTAATCCCAAATTATAATTCTATCAATCCTAAATGATTCAATACAACACATACACACACGCAAAACAGATACCAAACAAACACTATACACACACGCACAAATTTGTGCATATGTATGAAAACTTCTGGATTTCACAGATAAAAGGGAGAGAGGTGGCAATAGAGGTGGGTTTCATACAGAGAAAGGAAAGAGGAGGCAGCGATGGAGTTGGCGATTCGTCTAGAGGTGGGTTTCACAGAGAAGAGGGAGAAAAGAGAGAGAGAAAGGCAGCGATTAAGATGGGTTCACAATTTTTAGGTTTCATATAGAGAAAGAAGAGCTTCTAAGTTTCATACAAAGAAAGGACAGAGGAGGTAACGATGGAGGGAGGGTTTGATACAGAGAAGGAAGAGATGAAGGAGAGAGACAGAGAAAGAGAAGCGATGGGAGGAGAGAGGGGTGAAATAGGATTTTATACTTCAACAAAAAAAAAATAGGCTTATTTTGCTATTAAGTGGAGTCGAAGTCCGGATCTCATTAATTCCCACTCTTTTTTGCGCGTGTTGTCTCCGTTGGTGTTTCTTGAAACATCTTTTTTTTATTCTCATTTTTTTATCTTTGTTTCCAAAAAACTAATACAAAACAAAAATAAAAATAATACCCAAACATGTTTTGTTTTTATTTTTGATAAAAATTGAAAACAAAAACATAAAACACAAGACAAAAATAATTACTAAACAACCCCTTAATTTTCATGTTGCACTACAGCGTGAAAACTTAACTATGGTTTCATGCTACATTGTAGCATGAAAACAATAGTTAAGTTTTCATAGAAAACTAGTTTCCAAGTCCTAACATAACATGATAACTTAGTTTTCTTGCTAATCACTATAATATCTTTGTACCTTAGTTAAGTTTTCATGTTGTGTTAGGACTTGGAAACTTAGGGCTCGTTTGTTAGCGTTTTTGTTTTTGCGTTTTCAAAAAATAAAAAACAGAGTCAATTTTTTGTTTTTGTTTTTGTTTTGTGGTAAATACTGAAACAGAAAACATGCTTGGTAGTCATTTTTGTCTATCAAATTATGAGAATAAAAATAAAAAACATGTTTAATAACTACCTCAAGTTTTATCCTAAATATATTTTATATTATCTCATTTTTTGTTTTCAAACAAATCAACACTTTATTTAATCAAAAATGATTTACAACCATGTATTACAAAGGAGTTACAAGAAGCAAAAGACCACAGCCAGCAACCATCAAAACAAAGCAGATAGACTGCCAGTCCAGCAACCCATCAAGGAAATATAACACCCAAAAGCAAATACAATGATGTGGACTACGGACCACATTTTTTTTTTGAAGGAGAGATTCTATTGATATAAACAAAGATTACAAGAAATAAAGCTATAACAAAAAAAGAAAAGCCAAAGTTGGTACAAAAAACAAAAAGTTCATCATCATATACAACACAGCCCAGAAACAAGGACCAGCTGAAAGGCACAAGAGGATCAGCTAAAAGCGCAAGAGGACCAGCAAAAATACCCAACAAAAAAAGGCACCAAGTTGGAATCAAAATCCAAAGGGGTGGATCAACTTAAGGCACAAAAACCAGCTGAAAACCAGTTGAAAGCCCAACTGAAACCCATTAACAGCTAGCTGGGAATCCAGTTGAGCAAAACCAAAGATGCCACCATCAAAGCAAACCAAAAAACAGCAGGATGGCCAGCAGCAAGGCACAAAGAAAAACAGATGAAAGTCCAGCTGAGAGCAGAAAAAAAAAACAGCTGAGCAACAATCGAACAAACAAAACCAGTTGAACAAAACCGAAGGAATCCAACATCTGAGAAGAAGCCACCAACATTAGCAGAAGTAGCAACCAGGCTATTCACGTGAACAGTCTCATGAACAGTAAATAGAAAACCAACATGAGGCCAACTGAAAATCCAACTGTAAACCAAAAAAAATCAGGTGCAAAACCAGTAGAGAACCAGCTGCTAAGAAGACTCAGTTGAATGAGAAAAAGCAATAGCAAAGGAGAGCCAAGAGGAGGTAGCACCACCCAGCTGAAAACCAGTTGAAAGACCACTAGCATCAATAGCTCAACAAAAGCAAAAAAACGGATGCACATAGTGCATACACATGCAGAATGAGGACTGAGATCCAGCTTGAATCATCAAAAAACATAACTTGGCTTTAATCCTCCAATAAAACCAAAACCAATAGTCCTTGCATTCATAAAACCTTTTAACCTTTGTCATCAAACACCAGTATCCTTTTTTTCCTCAACACAGGCAGACCCTGCAAATCATGCAATAACACCTCCACCAGCAGGCCCAGGATTACCCTTGGTAGCACCATCAACATTTAATTTCAAAATCCCCTCATCTGGACATTTCCAATGAATCCATAAAGCTCTAGTCACAATCTTAAATAAAAGGTCAACCCCAAGCTGCTCCATCCAAGCAGCTAAGCACTAGGGGCAGTGGTCAAGCCCCAAATACAAGAAGCAGTCTCATTCAAGACACCCTGCTGCCTAATCACATTCCAAGCAAATTTGACAGCAAAAACACCAGATGTTGTTTCTTTCCAAATTAAAATATCTGCCTGATCAGACAAACTTATTCCAGAGTTAACATCTTCTCTGAGATGATCAGGAAGAAACAAGCCCACATCATCAAGCTGCCACTGAGAGTCCATGACCAAGTCAGCCACTGTTGGAAAAGACAGAGGCATTACTGATCAAGCAATTCAGGCACATCATCTGGGGTGACATAACCATACCTGCATATTAGCAACCAGCAACAGCAGATCAGCAACCAGCAGCAAGATCACCAACCAACAGCAGTAGCAGCAAGATCAATTGATCAAGCTTCAGCAGCATAAGGTCCCAACCTTTTCACCATTGTCATCCAAATGGTTACAATTTTTTCACTTACACAATTAATCAAACATATTATGCTCAGGCATACACACAACAAACAAAGACACAACACATACCCAAACTCAGACTCAACACACATACCACACAGAAAGACAGGCACTCAGACACACACCCAGAACACACACACTCAAACACATACTCAACACACTAACACACCTAGACAAACCTGGACCTGCATCCCCCACCTGCTAAAAAGCCTATCTGCAGCCAGCAGCCAAGCACAACAGCCAACAATCAGGACAAATTCCATAACTCAATTATAAGAAAAGCAGCCAGCAGCCAAACACAAATTCCACCATCCTCCAGCTGCACCCACAATCCAGTTACAATGCCTCTAACCTAGTTATATTACATCAAAATACAAATCCAAAGAACATATAAAGAAAGATACTTATATTACCTAAGCCAGTAATCACATTCATACATCATATTGTCCAACACACAGCCCCTAAGTTCAAACATTAATAAGTCATATCACTTAACTAAAATTCCAATAATTAATACAAATACCACGAACAATAATACACAAATAAAAATCAAATTACATCCACAACAAGCAAGCATGAACATAGTAATCCATTTCTTCTCTCTCCATCTTGACTGGGCTTGATTAATCACATGTTGTTTATTTATAATTGTGTTGTACTCATCAACCCATATAAAACAATTATCATGCTCACGCCATCATGGACAACGATAAAAAGCTCGTCCATTTTTTGTTTGGTCCTTGTGACCAAAATATTCATGTTCCCGGATCCATACGAACATGGAGGGCCAATACGTGTCATTATAACACACCTAACAACATTAACATCAACACGTAAAAATTAGTCATATAAACATTAAATTGAATATAACAATGCAAGTATCAACACATTTTTACCATCATAATAAATAATAACATTAGGACATGTATCAATGATGAGTTGATGCCCACAATTGATTAGCAATTGTGTCTCTGACACGAGCCATTTGACGCAGCTGACTCGGACTTATGTCTAATTCTATTGGGACCTGTGAACTTGATCCAGCAACAATTCTTTCATTATCAACAAATTCTCTTCTTTCCCAATCGTCAAATAACTGATCTTACGAAGTTATGTACTGTACAACATGTTGTGGGAATGTATTTTTGTGTGGTTAAGGGATATGGAGGCATTAACTTTAGGATTGGAAACCGAGCCTTTAGAACTCCAAAATAACGCTCTATCACATTCCGAAGTGAAGAATGCCGATGATTGAATAATTCTTCTTTACCGATTGGATGTCGACTCCTACCTCTATAATCACGCAAGTGATATCTCTCACCACGATATGGGGACAGAAAATCAGGCATGTTTGTGTAGCCCGAATCCACAACATAATATTTACCCTCTGGCGGCATTGGGAACTTGTTGGTTGGATTAGCAACACACTCAGCAAATATTCTTGAGTCATGAGCAGTACCCTCCCACCCAGTCATTACAAATACAAAGCGCATGTCAAAGGAATATGCACACATTACATTCTGAGTTGGTACAATACACTTTCCACGGTATGGTATCTGCGATTCCGCTGGAACACGTGCATCAACGTGGGTGCCATCAATGGCGCCAACAAAATTCTTCAAAGAAAAATAAAAACACATGAATGATATTGAAAGTAGTATTTTGTTACAACATATAAGCAAATTACTGTCACTTACCTTAAAGAAAGGGTAATATCTTGGGTTGAAACGAATATGAGGCTGAACCATACTAAAATCGGGAGGGCGGATGATATCAACTCCAAGCCTACAAACTGCTTTTAAAACACGATTAAAGTATTTGAAAATGGTCTCCCCCGAATGTTGAAACCTTTCATCTACTATGCGATTTCGCTCATTATGTGATATTGTAAGTAAAAATATAGCAACTTGTTCTTGCACGGTTACAAACCTGGAGTGTTTCAACCCTTTTTCTTTTAAGGTCTCACACAACAACATGAAAACAGGTGTGTCCATTCTAAATTGCTCATAGCACCTACTTTCATGTCCATGTAATAGTTCCAACACGTACTCATGTCCTTTAAGAACAGACGTTCTACATGGTCGTTGTGATGTAATGTGACTATCTAATTCTATTGCAGTCAATACAATAGAAATGTCATCATCACTATCTAATATCATAACAAATTCTTCATCTGAATTCATAATTGAATATTCAAGTCTACATGTAATATCCATACATAATGCACTTATCAGACATTTATCACGACACATTATAAATACGCATAATTATTAAACTTCAATCTAAAAGTCAACATACTCCGAAATTACACATACTCTAAAAGTACACATAATAGAAAAATACATATAATATCAAAGTCCACATACTCCAACTCCTATGCATAATACCAAAGTACACATAATCTCAAAGTACACATCCACAATGATAGGCTAAAGTACAACCATCACAGGTTAGTAACAAAATCATTCTTCCTATGATCTGGCATAGACAAGAACATCTTCCTATAGCTCATACCATCTCCAAAAAGCTTAATGGCCTTTTTGTATGAAGCTCCATCAATGTCCTCGAGAGAATTCAAAGCAACCAAACATTTTTCTAACAGATCATCATTATGCATAACAGCCTCACTATCACCACATGAAGTCGTCGTCATAGACGCACTAGACATCTTATAATCAATATACTCTGACTTCTTCTTTGAATTCTCAACCAACACATTAAGGGCAGATGTGAGTGTTTCCCTATAGTTACCCTTCTTCCTACGACGACTGGTTGTTGGAGTGGTAGACCTATTTCGAGGATGGTTGTTTATCCTTTTATCAATTGTCTCCACATTCTCTTCATGATCATCAACCTCAAGTGATGGATTAAAAGTAGGGTCTTCTTTATCTTCCTCACTGTCGGATGGAGGTTGGGTGGATGGATGAGAATTATCATCGGTTGTCGTTGTCTTTCATAAATCCTATACAGTTTCTCGTAATGTGGATAACCTTTTTTCTTGAATTGTCTGGCATGCTTATTAACCTATATTAAAAGAAAATAATGAAAGGTAAGCAATACTAATTAACCTAAAACCATTATGGTTAAAAAAAATGGATTCACATCAATACTAAAACCTACCTTGCACAAATCCTTCCATTGCTCGTCGTCCATGACAATTGTTTTCTTCACGGGATCCCAACCAACTCTAGTTTGATTCAACAATTTCTTGAAAGCATTGTAAATAGATCTCAAATTATTGAACTTTCTGCGTAGTTGTTCATAGGAGTAGTTGTATCCCATGCTTAATTGCATGTTTCTTACAAGATTTTTCAACCCAAGTTTGGTAAAAGTAGTATTAGGTCTATTTCCCGTTGCTACTTTCCTATCCATCAAGTCAATGAAAAGTGTCTCCTTATCGGACGTCTATGTGGCTACATTTTTGTCATTGTCAACCTCTACAACCTCATCATCGTGAGTTTGTTCGTTACCCGTTTTCATCTACGACAATTTTGTCAATTATACTAACAACTTTCCAACCACTACACATAACCATACTAACAATTCACAAAATGCAACATGGATCAAGGTGTACATCAAATCCAAGTAATGCATTGATAGACAAAAGAAAAGGGTGAAAAGAATCAATGTAACTACCATCAATACATCATCATCCTAATATGAGCATCATTTAGTACAACAAAATTTAATACAGAAATATTATGTAGGGATGAGTAAGAGGTAAATATTATTTAATACATAGTTGGTCACAAAAGCAATATGAAATAATATTATTTAATTATTATTAGTATTTCTACATTGCCCAATTAATTATGTGATTAGTGTCATATTATATTTAGAAGGATGATTGATATCCATTCAACTATAGCAATATTTCTCATGATATAGCATGAGGAGAAAAAGTTTCATAAGGGCTTTATCATTGCAAGGTCCCACGCCTACTTCTACTATATAACTGATATTGTAGAAAACAATTGACATATCATCTCTCATTGGATTATTGAACTATTTTGCCTTCTACCCCCAAAAAAGGAAAAATACAACAGCAATTGGTGTTCTTTTGTTTGTCATTTAATTGGTTATAGTTTCAACCCTTGGATCTTTTCAGAAATTTAATTGGTTTTAATAAAACAAAGCTCATTCAAAAAAATCTTTTAGTGAATATACCAATAGTGTGTAACCCTTAAGTGCTTAGACAAACCCACATTGTTGATTTGGTGATTTTTTTTAATTGAACAGATCGTCATCGTCGATCTGTGAGAGGATGTTTCCAAGACTTCATTCCAGGCATTGTACACGATCCACAGAAAGAAATATTAACAGTTACAAGTTTGCATTCAAACTTCCTTGGCGTGGACACCTTAGTGGCATTCTTTAATTTTTTTTCCCTTCTAACCAATTACAATGGGTAAATTACATTGATACCCCTTGTAAATTGGTCTAATTACAGAGACACCCTCCATTTTCTAAAATGTCATTGGTACCCCCCGTAGTTTACATATGCATTTCACTTAACACCCCTATCGTTACAGACGTTATGCAATGTTCAAAAAAAGATCTGACACCATGTAATATTGTATATAGAATGCCCAAATAATTTCGCTTGGCATTACACAGAAGATTTCCCCAACGTTGAGAAAACAAATGCAAAACAACTCAAACAATTTAAACATATTTTCTGAGATAGACAAAAATACAAAAAAAATATGATTAAAGCACAAAACCGTACAGATTTATGTAGATCTATGCATAGAAATAAATAAAAAAATGATTAGGGTCTGTAGTGTACAGATCTATGTAGATCTATGCATATATATAAAGATCTATGTATATACATACATATACGTATACAAATAAAGGGGTTATACTTACCTTCTTCGTCTTCGACTGTGAGTTTTCTTCGTGTGAGCCTTCTTCGTCTTCTTCGTGTGAGCCTTGTTTCGTCTTCGTCGATCTGTGAGTGGAAGAGAGAGAGTTGATGAGAGATCTTCGGAGAAGAGAGACGTACTGAGAGAGACGAGAGACAGTAGTTGCTTACCTTCACAGAAGAGAAGAGAGAGAGAGAGAGAGAGTGGCTGTGAGAAGAGAGAGCGATTGATTTGTGCGAAATGGAAGACTGGCTGAGACAAAAAATATCTCATATTTATAGCCCCTATTTTGAAGTGGAATTTTGTGGCTAATAAGAATCGAAGGTGAGACCTCATTTAAACAGTCCACGCGTGTTTTCTGTTTCATGTGTTTCTTGGAACAAAAAATTTTTGTTCCCATTTTTTTGTCTTTGTCTCCAATACAACGAAAACAAAACAAAATCAGAAACAGTAAACAAATATATTTTTGTTTTCATTTTTGACAAAAATTGAAAACAAAAACACAAAACTCAAAACAAAGACATTTACCAAACAAGGGCTTAGATTTAAGTTATCATGTCATGTTAGGACTTGGAAATTTAGTTTTCATGCTTTTGTGTAGCATGAAAACTTTTAAGTTATAATGTTATGTTTAAGTCCTAACATGTATGTTACACAATTTTTTAAATTAATCGGGCTGTAATCATTTAATTGGATCATATTATATTGAGTTTGTATTGTATTAATTTTTTTGGTACGATGAATGAAAAAATTGAGGGATAAATTTCCTATTGTCTAGTAAAAGAAATAAAAAGAATGGAATGAAAAAATATATAAACTCAATCTAATATTGTACCCTTGAATATAAGTTATATATTTTTTATTATAAATTGTAAAATTGCACTTTATAGAGAGTCAAAGAAAGGGTAAGTGTACAATAACAATTTTCTGTTATCAAAAAATTGACTTGTGGCATGTTTGTAGAAAAATCTTCCCCATGTAAAAGTAGCACCTTGTGAAATGGCATAAAAGTAATTTATTTAACTTCATTAAAGTCAGCAGCACTTCTCTGTTCTCTCCCACTTTCTGCCCACTGTTGGACAGACAAAAAATGGCCCCAATGAAATAACTTAACTTATTTTTTGGGGGAGGAGAAAGGAGAAGGGAGAGGGAGAGGGAGAGGGAGAGGGAGACTTGAGCCTTTAATCTCAAAAAAATAAAATATTTACAAGACAAAAAATATTATTAGATCAAAGACCTATTAATAATGAAATCACTTTCCACCCATTTCTCTATTTGATTTTCCTTTGAAACCAAACAAAATATACTCTTTCCTTTCTCTCCATTTTTCCTCCTTCCTCTCTCATGCATCCACTTTTCCTGCCGCCTTTAAATTAACTTATAAAGATGACGATATTGTCTACGTTTTCACTTTTAAGGGCTTTAGGACGGCCAACGTCGGAAAAGTAGGCCATTGACCAACATGTGATAGAATAAAAGACCATAAACCAACCCTCCCAGATCTTGCCACGTAGACTAGCTTGCTACACGTGGACCAAATAATGACATGGCAGATGCTGAGTCGTTTAATGGGAAAACTTGTGGAAGATAGAAGTTGAATATCCTCAGCCCGATACCACGAACGAGAGACTCCGATGGAAATAAATACGAAACAACCCCTCCCTTCTCACTTCCCTCCATAGTCAGTACACTCCATTCTCTCTCTCTCTCTTCCCTCTAGATAGTGTACTCTACATTTCTTTTTCTCTGCCTCTGTCTTTCATTTCAGTGGTTACATACTCTTTGTTGGGGACCAAGGTTTTTTCAACTCTCTGAAAGTTTTGGAAAATGGGTAGCTCTACGAAACTGCTAAGGTGAGAAGGTTCCTTCTTGTAAGATATTTCTACTTTGTTTTTCTGTTTTTTGGGTATAATTTCTTTTACTTTTTCGTTTCCTACCCGTAAAATGTTGTATATATGTCTCTCTGTAGTATGTACATTCTCTAGGTATCTGTGTGTATGAGTATGACAGGTTTAGGTAGATTATTTTTTGCTAATATTATATGGACTTAAAAATTAAATTTAAAAATTAGATAATCTCGACTATTAAATAGATAGTGAGTCATAATAAATGTTGGGACTCACAGTTAAATAAATTGTTAAGATTATCAAGTCTATTTTTTAAGTTCACGTAATAATGCTCTAAAAAGAAACGAATTGTTATTTATGTTCTTGTGCGTGTGTGTGAGAGAGAGAGAAAAAGAGAGATGAGATATCCAATTCGTAGTTGAGATTTATTTTGGCCTTCAAAAATGCCGTTTTTTCCCTCCCTGCAATGGTGATCCCTCGAATCCAAAAGCCACTCTCACAGTTTTTTGTTTTTTTTTTCTTTTCAATCAGGTTGTTTCTTACACTTCAAGTTTTCTGTTTTAGGGTTCGAGAATGGCGTCACAAGCTACTGTTACGAACGACGTGGGTGGGTCAATGTACACGGACGAGTACTTGGATTCGTTACCGCCTGGTTTCCAGTTTAAACCCACTGATCAGGAGTTGATTGTTCATGCGTTAACTTAACACATATTTACAAACCAGTAATACTATTTGGACCTTATTAGTTGATTTTGATGAACCCATTTTCTACTGGATCAGGCCCAATCAATCAAAAGAGTCCAAATCATTCACAAAACAGGTCAAGTCCAGTTCAAGAATTCAAGCCAAGGCCTGAGTCCAAGAAGATTAGAGCACACAGAGAATAATCATTGGGATACCCACTCTCGAAGATTAATGTTATTTTAATTGTACTTACTTTTTATAACTATCTTCCCCGAGGAACTAATACATTTGCCCTCACATCACCGCCTCACCTAAAAACTTCATGCCTATTAATTGTAAGCTCTCTCTATTGAGAGGGGCATGTCTACACTTCTCTACACACCACCCACATAGCTTTTCTCTCTCTTAACTATTGTACATCTCCTGGAACTCCCTCTCCCTTACCTTATTTATTAATATAGGCTCTCCGACCGCCGTTGCCGCTTTCGGAGTGAAGTAAGTCACCCAGACCGAACCACTATATATTTGCGTGTTGGTCTGATATTTAGTTTTTTGCCACTAATTATTTTATTAATTACGCTATATCACACACTCGACTGTTGATTGTGCATAAGGCTGTTTTGTGGATCATCAGATTTAATTCATAACTATCCTATGATAAATGGCGAGTATAGAGTAATGTTAGGTTCACAATCCATATGCAAATGTTCAATTTTCATACTATTCTATCTTTGTTTATTTTTATATATTTCTAAAGGTGATCATTCATATTTTTTTGATATCTAGATTGTGCCCCTATTTTATTTTTATACTTCAACTTTAATGTTGAATAAATAACCATGGTTATTCTCGGAATGACAGAGAAATACAAATTACATGGAGAAGATGAATTGTATTTCTTTACCCCAAGGGAAAAGAGGTACGCTAATGGCACCCGGCCCAACCGAAATACTGGTGATGGATGGTGGAAGGCTTCAGGAGGTGACAAACCAATTTATAGCAATGGTCGGGTAGTCGGGTACAAGAAGTCGTTAGTTTTTTATGAAAAGAATGCTAGAGATGGATCTCAAGGGAAGACTAATTGGCTAACGCAAGAATACACAGCTAAGGTGCAGAATACTCCAAGTAGGGCTTCAGGTGACATGAAGGTATACAGTAATTTTACTTATGTCAAAGTGATTCAAAAATCTATAGCTCTAAAGTGGCAATTATTGATTTTCCACGATTTGTTTTCTTTTTTCGTGATCCATTGCATACATGTTATGGATTAAGAGATTAATCAACAGTTCAATAGAGTAGCTCATAGCATTTTTTTTTCCTACAGTTGGATGATTTGGTGTTGTGCAAAATCTATCAAACGAGAGTGAAGCCCAAGAACAACCCACGGCAAGATCATGGAGAAGAAGAACCTGATGAAACAGGGGTTAATCCATATGGAGTGGACAATATGCTCAATGATGCGGCTTTACCACAGGGTGTTGATGTGGAGTCAATTGATTTTTCGGTCGAAGATTGCGTATATGGACACTTGGTTTATAACATGGCTAAAGAAATGGTGCCTAATGCTGCAGATATGCACAATGATGTGGTGCCTAATGTTGCTCAAATGTACGATGATATGGTGCCGAATGTTGTAGTTAGGCACAATGATGTGGTTCCTAATGCTGCACAAATGTCTGATCATATGGTGCCTAATACTGCACATTTGCATCCTCATTTTAACCAGAGTGTGTCAAGTTATGCATACAACAGTTGCGCTGATTTGAATTTTGGCCCAGATTTTGTTCTGGGTGAGAAAGAACATGTTAAGTCATGCGATTCTGAGGTTGAACATTGGATAGATCGAGCGCAGCTCAATACTAGTACTTATGGCGAATTGTCAAATGTTATGTTTAATTTACTTTGGTCCAAAGATGTCATGTGACAAATCACGTGCACCAATCCCAATTGTCCAATTCATCCAATGGTTATTTATTTGCACTTTGTAATTGTTTTTTCCATTTATTTAGGAGTCTGAAAGAGTCAGGAGTCTGGTGTTTGACTCAGTCCATTATTGTTATTGTGCCATGGACCATGTTTGGTAGTTACAAGCAGTTCATGGGCCATTAGGCCATTATCTTCTCTTGGTTGTTACAAGCAGTTAAGTCCAAAGGTCTATATATTGTAATTTTGTTTGATTAATGAGGATATCAATTTCCTTGAGTCAATTACAAGTATACTGGAGGTTGGCCCCTCGAAGAGCCTTATTTAGTTACTGGATACTTGACAGTGGTATCAGAGCCAGGATAACTCCATGGCTGATGGAACTCGTCTGTCTCAACTTTTGGAGGCACTTTCTCAATTGCAAGCCGAGAATGCTTCCATTCGTGAGAGCCAGAACCAATTATCCCATGCCCAAAACAAACAGCAGCAATTGTTGGAAGAAATTATTCAACAAGTCGCGAGTTTAGCCACCAGTTACAATACCTTAACCCTAGCCTTGACCCACCAACCCAACCCCTCAACGCCCAATGCCCATGAAGGCAGTAACCCACCCATTACCTTTCTGAACCATCCCAACCCACTCTTTGAAACATCGACTGGAATTCAAGGTCGTGCCATGCGGTTAGATTTCCCAAAGTTTAACGGCTCCGACCCCACTGGTTGGATTTTTCGTGCCAAATAATTCTTTGCCTTTTATAATACACCCAACCCACAAAAACTCCAATTGGCCTCATTTCACATTGAAGGCAAGGCACTTACTTGGTTTCAATTGTTGGAGGAAGCACATCCGGTCCAGACCTGGGATGCATTTGTCGATGCACTTCAACTACGATTTGCTCCTACTCCGTTTGATGACCCAGTGGCTGAGTTTACCAAACTTCAGCAGACCTCCATAGTTAAAGAATATTAGTTCCACTTTGAATTACTTTCAAATCGCATCACTAACCTTATGCTCCGTTTGACAGGAAGGATGTAAAGAATGAGGAATACGATTTTCATCATTCAAGGAAGAAAAGTATAAATGATATATTTTTCTTCTTTTGTGTTTGGTTGGATGGATGAAAAATAGAAATGACTAATTTTTTTTTTTTTTTGTGCTGGCTAAAAATAGAGGTGACAATCGAGTCGTGTCGTGTCAAATTCGTGTTGAGTTATTACGGATTTATGTCGAACATTAGTCAAATCTAACTCAACTCATTTAACTAATTGTGTCGTGTCGAGTTGTGAATAAACCTTTTTATATCGTGTTCGTATTCGTATTCGTATTGACCTACATAAACTTTGAATAAAAAAATTAACACTAATATTCTATTTTCGCTTAATTGAATCCATGTTAATATTTTTTCTACAAACTAAAAACTAACTTAAATAAATATAATAATAATAAGTAAAAATATCTTTTTTATATAATAATTATGTCAGTATTTAATAAATAGTTACAAATAATTAACATTTTGTGTCTATAATATTAGTTAAACATGTTAGTTTCGTGATAATTTCGTATTACCATACAAACGAGAAAATAAAAAAAAATGTTTATTTTTAAATAAACGGGTTGATGGTGTCAATTTTGAATTTGACTGATTGAACTGAATATGAGCTTTTTATATTTCTTGTTCGCGTGTCAAGTCATTTTCAAGTTCGTGTAGAGTTATTATCGAGTTTATGTCATAAAATTCACGTTGAGTTTGAGTCGTGTCATCATGTTGAGTCAAAAATTTTCACCTCTAGTTAAGATGAATTTTTTTTTGAATTTAATTTTTTTTATTTTTTAAATTTTTATATATATATACATATTTTATCATTGTATTTTTATATGAAATTAATGTATACATAATATATGTATATATTAAAAGATATATAGACAATTTAGACACATCTTAATACAAATAATTAACTTTTTATTCATTTTCTTTTCGATTTTGGAGGGATTGATTTTAGTGATTTAGAATGAAAATTAATTTATCCAATTTTTCATTCTTCCTATTTTCCTTCCTTATCAAACATGATATTTTATATATCTCTCTAACTTTCCATCTTTCAATTTTTTCGTGATACCAAACAGAACATTACTGAAGATTTCTGGGTCAGCACCTTCATAAGTGGGCTCAAAGATGACATCCGCACCATGATCACTATGTTAGCCATCTGATTTACCCACTGCCTTCGGCCTAGGCAGAATTTATGAAGAAGAAGTTTGCAGGTGTGCCCCATTTAATCGGCCCAATTTCACTACATCTGCCGCAAATCCAGCCCAACAACAGACTAGCTTCTCTAGACTACCCTCTTACAGATCCATGCCTCCCTATACACCTTCTTCATTGCCTGCACCTCCACCACTCCCTAACCGACGCCTTCTACCATCTACACCAAGAACCAATTTACCCATTCAGCGCATTTCTTCAGCTCAAATGCGGGAACGACGCGAACGAGGCCTCTATTATTATCGTGAAGATAAATGGTCCCCTGGGCATCGCTGCAAGACACCTAGAGTGTTTTTGCTGGAGGGATTGGAAGATCATGACTCACTTGGAGATCCGGAACCACCTGCTATTACCATGGAGGATACTGACAGGCCTATTTCATCATCACCAAGTGGCACAGTTGAAATATCCTTACACGCAATTTTTGGTGCTCCCGCACCTCGCACTCTGCGATTACTTGGCCAGGTGGGCTCACAGCAGGTCAAGGTGCTTATTGACACAGGTAGCACCCACTGTTTCATAGATTCCAAAGTAGCTGATCGTGCCAATCTGCCCATAATTGACGGACCTCACTTGTCGGTGATGGTGGCCAACGACAATCGTATTCCTTGCTTAGGCTATTATGTGTCAGTGCCTTTCTCTCTTCACAATCACAAATTCTCCACTTCTCTCTACTTGCTTCCGTTGGGAGGGTGTGATTTGGTTCTCGGCGTCAATTGGTTATGCACCCTTGGGCCAATCCTGTGGGATTTTGCTAAGCTTACTATGGGCTTTACTTGGCACAATAACACAATTATTTTGCAGGGATTAAGCTCGTCTGTGCCTACACTGATGGAATTGCATGACTTCTGCTTTCATTCGGATCCTCGCACAAAGGGATTGCTGGTTCACCTCTTGTAGGCCGATTCTTCCACATCCACTCCTGAGGTGCCTCTTGCCCTCCAACCGTTGATTTCTACTTATGTTGACATCTTTCGGGAACCCACCGGCTTACCTCCACATTGGAGCCAAGACCACAAAATCCAGCTGTTTGAAGGGGCGGTCCAGTTAGCTCAAGGCCTTACCGGTATCCCTATTACCAAAAGGACGAGATTGAGAAATTGATAACTGAAATGTTGAGCAGTGGCATAATTCGACCAAGTCAAAGCCCTTATTCTTCTCCAATCCTACTTGTACGCAAGGCCGAATGGAAGTTGGCGTATGTGTGTCGACTATCGCGCTCAGAACAAAGTGACAATCAAAGATAAGTATCCTATTCCTCTTATTGATGAACTATTGGATGAATTGTGTGGGGCTATGATTTTCTCTAAACACAATCTCCCAGGTACCACCAAATTTTGGTCGCACCCGAGGATGTCCCAAAGACGGCTTTCCACACTCAACAAGGGCATTATGATTTTTTAGTCATGTCGTTTGGCCTCACTAATGCCCCATCTACTTTTCAAAGTCTCATTTTTCGTCCCTATTTGCGCAAATTTGTCTTGATTTTTTTTGACGACATTTTGATTTATAGCAAAACTCTTACAGAACACATCTCCCACCTCAATGTTGTTCTTAACATTCTTAAATGTCATCAACTATATGTCAAATTATCTAAATGTCATTTTAGTTGTCATGAGATTGAATACCTCGGTCATCTAATTTCGGTCCATGGTGTCAAGGCTGATTCTAAAAAGATTTCTTGCATACTTCAATGGCCCCTTCCCAAATCAGTTCGTGCCCTCCGGGGTTTCCTAGGCCTCACGGGATACTATCGCAAGTTCATCAAGGACTACGGCACCATTGTCCCGCCCTTGACAAAACTCCTGCGCAAAGATTCTTTTCATTGGACCCACACTGACACTTCAGCTTTTGACTACCTCAAACAGGCCCTATCCACACCTCTTGTCTTAAGACTCCCTGATTTCTCTAAAACTTTTATCATTGAATGTGATGCCTCTGGTGAAGGCATTGGTGTTGTTCTTATGCAGGAGGGACGTCCCCTAGCTTATCTTAGCCAAGGGTTACAGGGCAAAAACCTCCATCTCTGCACTAGTCCTAACTATGACGAAATGGCGTGCTTATCTATTGGGGCAAAGGTTCAGAATCCGTACAAACCAACAGGATTTAAAATATCTGGTGGAACAGCGAGTGGGTACACCTACTCAACAGAAATGGATCTCCAAACTTCTCGGCTTTGATTTCAGTGTTGAATTTAAACTTGGCCGCAAGAATAAGGTGGCCGACGCCCTGTCTAGGATGAATCAAGATAACCCGTCAATGCATATTTCAACAGTGGAAACAACTTGGGTTCAAAAATTACTGGAGGCTTACCAACGCGACCCTCAGCTCCTTGCACTGTACCAAACATTGATTAGGGAAGGCTCCTCTGATCCGAAGCTAACTCTACACAATAGGTTGATTCTTTACAAAGGCCGCCCCCATTTGGGCTGTTCCCTCGACCTGCACAAACAAGCCATTCTTCAAATGCATGACAGCCCATTGGCAAGCCACTCAGGTTACCACAAGACACTAGCTCGGGTTCAGAGAATTTTTACTGGCCTGGTTTGCAGACAACGGTGCGCCTTCACATTCGGAACTAGGACGTTTGTCGACGCCATAAGGTTGAGCACTGCCATCCACCAGGTCTTCTCCAGCCGCTTCCAATTCCGGATCGCCCATGGTTCAATATCAAGATGGATTTCATTGAAGGCCTTCCCCGCTCACAATCCAAAAATGTTATAATGGTGGTTGTCAACCGTTTGACCAAATACGCCCATTTCATTGCCCTTAGTCACCCTTACACGGTCCACACCATTGCTCAAGCCTTTATTGACAACGTTTTCAAGCTCCATGGAACCCCAAAGACCATTGTTAGCGATCATGATTCCATTTTTCTATCACATTTTTGGTCTGAATTTTTCGGGAATTGGGCAGAACCATTAGCATCCATGCCTTGTTCCTCTTCCCCTCTCTTCCCGTCAGGACAGCAAAACCCAAAAAAAAACCTGAAAGAGAGGTTTACCTTACAACGGGACTTGCAGATTTTCATAGCATTGAGAGCTTGATCAGTGTCAATACTGCTATGTAAAATATGAACTTTGAATGCTGTATTAAATGGTTTCAGAAGGAACCATTGTTGCTCCAGTGAATAGTATGTTGGAAGGAAAACCAAAATGCTTTTTTCAATGTCTGGTTCATTTTTATGAATGTGCAACACCAAATCATGTATAAGCTTGTGCACTTCAGGTTTGATATCAGCATCAGCCATAGAAGGGCTTGACCCAGAACTATATCTAGACGACAACTATTTTCAATTCATTCCAAGTATTTCATTTACCTGTGGACCAAAGGTTGACCATAATAAAAATCCAGTATCAATCGTAAGATAGACTTTGCAAGGACAAATGAAAATGGAAATTCATGAACTTGCATTGAGAAATTGAAAATATCCTCTGTCCCGTTTGCTTTCTTCAGACTCAAGCTTTAAACTTGTTAACGAACTAGCATTTAGTGGTAATGCACTAGATTCACAAACCTTCAACTTTTGAATTTTTCCCTCCATGAACTAAAGATTCACTGCTTTGCCAAAAGACAAGGTCCTAGACAATTTAATTGCCGAAATAATGCATATGTAGTTGACACCATGTAGTTGGAACAAGGCTTTATTAAGTTGAGTTATGGAAAAGAATGTAATGAAATGTGTATCATGTTATAAAGGGCTGGAGAACCAAAATCTAACACAAAATGCCCACAACTCAAAATAGAAGAACAAATCTCTAGTATTATAAAATATCTGCATATGTGAAATTTTTTCTTTTTTCAATTTATCCTCTAACATCACAACTATGTCATCTATGTCCTCTACACTTAATTCCTTCCCATTAACCTTCGTAGCCGTTAATGCTCCCTCTGTTATGTCCCTATTTTCTCGCTCTCTCTCTCTCTCTCTCTCTCTCCCTATTTCCTCTCCCAAATTTAGACCTGGGCGTTACAGTCTCTTCCTCTCTCCGACTTTCTCTCCCTGTTGTCTCTCTCTCTCTTTTGCAAATTCACAGCCTTTCTTTTCATGGACAGAGAAGAGAAGAGCACACTGCCCCCTTCACCATCCCCCTCTCAGTCTCTCTCACACCGTTATGGACCCCCCTTCACCGTCCCCCTCTCAGTCTCTCTCTCCCCAATTTTATTTAATTACATGTATTCAATTACAAAAATCAGTTACCCATTACATATTTCAATTAGGCATCCAACAATTAATTTGTTTAATTACAAAAACCGCTGAGCTTCTTCAAAATCCTATTTATAATCGCCTTTTTCTGTTAGAAATATTCTTCGAAATGCCATCATCCTTCGTCCCTCTTTGTCATACGCCGATTGCCTATTGTGTTTTTGCATCATCAAGCTTTCCACCGCTACAGGAGCTCCAACCTCTCCCTTTGACCAGGTAACTGCCACTTGTGTTCAAATTATTACTTCAGAATTTTTGGTTTTCTTTTGGTTTGAATTATTACTCAATTAGATTTGATTTATGCTGGTGTTTTCTTCTTTGTGGTTTTGTTTTTGATCCAACGAAATCACATCGTCCTTCGCCCCTTCGCTATCAGACGCCGACTGCCTGTTGTGTTTTGGCATCTTCAAGCTTTCCACCGCTAGAGAAGCTCCAACTTCTCCCTCTGACCTGTTCAAATTATTTGTTCAAAATTTTTGGTTTTGTTTTGGTTTGAATTGCTACTGAATTAGATTTGATTTTGTGTTTTCTTCTTTGTTGTTTCGTTTTTGATTCAATTTATTATTCTATTTAGTTGCTACAACACTGGTGGAGAACATTTTTTGGTAAGTGTTTACAATTATAAATCAATTTTTTGGTAATGCATTCACAGGAATAACACTCTATGTAGTGTAGTGTAAAATGTAAGATGCCTTTTCTTCCCCCATCCTTCAGTATGATTTTAGTTGCATGACTTTACAGAGCATCCTGCTACATTCATCTAATATAAGAACACTAGAATGTGAATCTACATGCGCTTTATTCTGAAAAAAAGGTACATTTGCTTGACCTTTACATGAGCAATTCAAAATTTTGGGGGATTTCTCAATGATATGATGTTCTTGATAATTATATTTCTACTAGCAACGTAGTGAGGAAAATAGTTGTTCCAATTGACTATTCCCATATTTTAATCTACTTGGTGCTTACAACTTCGATTGCCATTGGAAAAAGAATGGGGAATTACGTGTTGGGGTTAGAAGACACCTTACTTGTCAACAAAGTTCCATGCCATCGTCAGTGATTTCAAGTCAGAGCATGCACCTAGGAGTGCTTGCAACCACATCTTACGCTGTAACTACTCAAACCCCTTTTGTTGTTTTCTACAAGCTGAGGTACTACTATATATTACTCCGTCTAATGAATTTGAAATGATTTTTGTGTCGCATAAATCTTACTGAATTAGTAATTTTTGTTATGGTTTCATTTTCAAAAATTCAAGACGAGTCAGTTTATTATAGGCTTGAATAAATATCTAGAAGTTGTTGACCATGGATTTGCAGTTGGCATCAGATTTAATATGCGATTTGAAAGGGAAGATTCTCCAGAAAGAATCTCTTCCTGTAACCGCTTCCCATGTAACCGCTTCTTGGAAGATGAATATTGATGAAACTGAAGAGAGTGGAAGTGCTTCGGCTTGGTCTGTTCCCTCACACTATTTAAAATGTCTAATTTTAAACGTGTCGGGTTGGGTAGAATCGGTTTAACACAATAAATCATCCGTTTAACCCATTTACCTGTTTATTTAAAAATGTTATATAATTTTATAAAACTAACAAGCTAACACAAATAAATGAGATATTTAGAGATACCACACCATATTACAAAGTATAAACTACGATCCAAAATAACCAAATTCCACCAACAACCATATTACAAATCATAAATACAATCCGAAATAACAAAATTACACCAAATAACAATCATATTACAAACCACAATACCAAACAACCACAAATTCCATAATTCACAAAATCTCGTGAAAGAGATCAAATCTCCACCTCCACAAAAAATTACACACCAATACAAGAAATACTTATTCCAGTTCATCGTACACAGAAGACGATCCATCAGCACTTCCCCACATGCAGACATAGAAAATAATGAGCAGGAATGTATAGAGCCAACTTTTAATTCTCCATGGTCTACAAATGAATTGGCTTAGTTCAGATTCAGGACTGCACCGAAGAAGAATTGGGTGAAGAAATTAGCTGTGTTTGTATGGAAATGAAGATGGTCTAAAGACAATTCAGGAACCATCAATATTTGGCAAACTTCAGTAATATAAAGGCATACCAAGAATTTTTTTTTATAGAATTCGACAAGCTCCTTTGGATCGAGTTGAGTTTGATTGTAAGCCTCATTTTTATTCATCTCCTGCCAAAAAAAATTCTACTGCATTACAACTCAAGAACAACAATTGTTCTGAGTGTTGTTAGTGTTCATAGTAATGCAGGTGCTCTCAAAACAAAAATAATTAGAATTTCAGTCATCAAAGAAACCAATACCATCTTTTGTGTATGAACATAGATAAATACGAAAATGCAAAGCAATTGAGAAAGCTTGATATGTCATTGCCTCCAATAACAATTGCAGGAAACAAAAATTGATTTTGAAGGAATACACCAAGATCTATATACAGATCGAACTCCACTTGGGGCGGGGCCTTACCAGGCTAGAGTTTCTCCATCCCTCTCCACTCATTTGAGAATTGTAAACTCCACATTATCTCAAAATAGCACTTAAACACCAAATACCCAACATCCTTATTCCATTATGTACCATGCCTAGTAGTCAGAGCAAGGAAGTGTCTCAATGGTCCTACATTTCAGACCTAAAAATTCAGATCTCAATTGTCGAATCATACACCATGCCTGTTTATTTGAGCATAAAAGAGTTTCAAAGGTTTTTAATTTCACATCTAAATTGTGGCAAATTATCATAACTTTTACGTGCCCAATACTCTTCAGATGCAACTTGGGAATGATAATAGAGTAAATGACATAGTGGAATAAGAAATGTAAATGATTTGTTGGAATTCAATGTCACTTTGCAGTCCAAAGACTAAACTCTGAATAAGGTTTATATCTTACCCTGCGGATCACAAGTAGAATTATGACTAGGTACATCAGTAAAGCAATTTTAGTAGCAGACGCATAGTTCTAGTTTTCAAGAAATTAGAATTTGATCAAAGTCGGCATGTCACTTACTCAACAATGCTTTACTCCCTAATCAGTCCTATCTAGGGCCATGTCTAACCAAGAAAAACTGATGATTCCATGGGGACCTAGAAATACGCAAGGTCATACAAAGAACAAATATAATTGCAATACCTCAATCAATGTTGCCAGTTTTGGCCAGCCTACAGTAATGTCATAGTTCTTCAAATCCAGCAAGAAGGGCTGAAATCTTTCAATGAATGGCGCACAAGCTATATCCTCCTGAAGGACACGGATATGAACTTAAGAGACCACAGACATCAAATCTTGTCAAATCAAAAAGCACAATTTTCCCTAATCTTACAATTTTTACCTCATCTAATATAATTCTCTTCACAAAATGGGATGATAATTGATGGGACTCTTCTGAAAAGCCCTAAGATGAAGACACGTGTCCTCGGGTTTTTGGAAACAGTGTTGCCCGGATGTAAGCACCATCGGCGAAGAGCGTCCTCTCCCCCGAGGTACCCCTTAAAGGATCACACATTCGGGTGCATTATACAACACGTGTCCTCGGTCGCCGTGTAGCTCGGGAACATACCACCCTCGGTCCCCGAGGCGAGCCTTTCCTCGGTGCCGAGGGTCACTCCATCCTGGACGCTTCCTCTACTCCCGGATAAAGCTACTGACGTACGGGGCATCAGCCTATGCCAGTCTAGACTATTCATCATGACCTCGCCTAACGCAAGTAATGTCAGAACGTGCTGGAATACCGACGTCACAGCCAATAGGAGATGGACGCGTGGCAAATAATGTCACATCAGAAGCAGACAAACCGCATGCCGTTGCTGACACGCGACTTGGGACAGCAAACAATTAATTGCACCCTTCTGTTGACGAGACCGCATTCAATGCGGTAAGGTTTGGATATGAAAGGCAATAAATGCTCCTATTACAGAGCATTTATTGCATCCTTCCCGAAAGGAGCATATTGTACCGTCGGCGTCCCGACGACTCAGCATTGATTGCTCGGGACCCCGAGCAGTCAATTCGAGAAGACATTCC